TCGACAGTGGATCCCAGTGGACCCCCTTGGCTTCAGACTTAACCTGATACACTCCTGAGGTCGGGCAAAATCAGTGTGTAATCACGGGCAATGAGGAAACCTTCACGAGTGTGAACTCTGGAGACCGGAGCCCTGCCTTGGAATACACGACTGTGTTTTCACACTCATGTTTTGGCCCACCTGCCAGGTGTAACCACGGTTGCAGTACTTTAACCTTGTGTGCGAAGTTGGACCTGGTGCTCGCTCTCCGCCTCTAGTAAGGGCAGGGAGTGAATTAATCCCAGAGAAGGCACTGTAGGTCCCCCCACCAAACCACCATCAAGAGGAATTCCAAGGCCAGACCAGTCGGAGACAGGGATCCCTGGGAAACTTACAAAGCCACCTCTTGTGGAAGACAAGATTCCCTCAAGCCCAATGTCAGACCTCAACAGGTGTGAACACCGACTAAACCTGCCAGGTGATTTCCATGTGCTGCGAGGTCCACACCGCACGAGGCAACTCCCAGACTTTCTCAATCCCGGCTAAGCATCCGCATCACCTGGGAAGGGTCCTCTGCTCGGGGCAGGAGGCACACCCTGCCTCTTAGCCCTGGGCTAGGGTCTGGGCGGCAGTCAGCGTAGTCTTGACACCCAGGAAGAGTGACAGCCATGGGCCTTCATGGTGGGATGCCTTCATCAACACCTTCCTGGGCCCTCATGGGTACTTGGCCGTGCAGGAGTTATGGGATCTTCCCCTGGGGCACGCTGAAGGAAGGGACAGGAACCCACAGGTGCCTGTCACTCCTGTTGTCCAGTGTGTGTCTAGTAGGACAGATGTGCCTACCAGGGTGACCCTTGTTTTGGAAGCCAATTCCTCATGCTGAACACGGAACCGTCTGGGGGGCGAGGTGGGGAGTACCTAGACTATGGACCATCCAAGACACACCCTGCTTGAGTCACAGATTCAAAAACCCCGGGACAGTGTGGCTCACCCTGCTCACCCCGTCCCACAGAGCACACCCAGGATGGCCACCCACCTCAGCTTCAGGCTCCGAAATCCTCCCAGGCCGCTGCTCCTCAGCGTCAGTGAGGCCTGCTGACACAGGTCCTCTGTTGTTGCCCGCTGATGTGGAGACGCCGGGGTGGTCCGCGCCGGTCCAACAGGCTACAGATCTGTGGGACTGCAGCCGCACAGGTGTTTCATCCTGCACACTGCCGCTCCTTACCAGGAAAGAGCGCCCCCTCTGGGGAGGCGGGCATTACAGCCCAGGTGAAAACACTCCCCACGGGCCGAGCGTGCTGGATTGGGCGGCTGGCCCTCAACAAGTCAGCAGCTCTTCTCGGGATCCCAACCTATGTGTCCCTCAATGTGGCCACCTTTCTCTTACAGAGGAGACACACACCTCCCCAGGTGCCCTGAGTACCCGTGAACAATGCAGTTGACCACCAAGATCGGGAAGAGAATGTATCTGAACCCCTTTTTGGAGGCAAGAGCCTCAGGTATGTTCTGTTCCCAGGGTCCTGCACATGCCAAGGGCGACCATGCTGGGCAGTTTCATAGTATGATTGTCACTGAGTCCCAGAGCTCCTGTGATAACCATTCTGTTACCACGGAAGCAAGCAGATGGATGTCCATGGCCCTGGCTGCGGACGCTGGGGGAGAATTCCTCCCAGGAGTGTCGCGGGTTGAATTGTATCCCTCAAATCGGGCGTGTCACAGTCCTAACCCCCGGCTCCTCGGAAGACAACCTTATCAAAGTCAGGACAGATGAATGAGTTCAAGATGTAGGGAAAGCTTGGGCTCCTGCGTGACGTGTGGTGTTCTTCTCAAATGGGACAGTGGGACCACACAGGGCAATGGCACGTGAGGAGGAAGTGAGGAGCTGCAGTTGCATGTTCATGAAGCCCAAAGGTGTGAGCACATCCCGAGAAGCTAGGAGAGGGGCTGAGCGGGAGAACCTTCAGCCCTCCGAAGGGCCTGCTCCTCCCAACGCCTTGAACCCAGACTGCCTGGGACCAGGGGAATAAAGGGAGCTGTGCACACCACAATTCCAGAAAGCTCTCTCAAAGGAAGCCCGTGGAAGAAGCTCCACCCACAAAGATGCAGCATGAATAGCCTTGACAAGGCCGAGCAGCTGAAGCATTTCAGGAGCTGAGAGAACTCAGGGAGATGATCACAGTACTCGAGTTGTCCTTCTTGAATACTCCACGCATTAGCCCAGGAAGCCTCGGATGGCTCCTTGGCAAACGTCCTCCTGCTGGAGGGCCACCGAGAACACAGCTGGCCTGCTGTGGGCCGTTTCCTAGATTCTCCCAGTTGTTCCCTCACTCCTTTCAAATTGCCAGGCCGGGGAGACACTGGCCTCAAACTGCAATTGAAATGCTCCCTGCCCATCTCTTTCATCAACTCCTGAGATCTCCTTGGCAACCCGAGCTCTCTGTAACACGCCTGATTCCACAGGTGTGAAGGGATGCTCCTGGGGGCCCTTCCGGGCTGAAAAACCTCACATCCCACCACAGGACCGACCATTGGCTTCTCCCATGCAGCCTCTCTCTGGCCCAGAGATGGCTGACGATCATGCAGGCAGGAGCTAGCATCTCGTGGGGGCAGAAAATGAGCACCTTTCAGAGTCATGCAAATCCGAATGTTTAAATGCTCATCAGAAGTGAGAGTGCTTAAAGGGGCATGGGAGGTTGAACCTGGAAATGACTTTTCCTCTGGCTCCTTGGGTGGATGGAAGTGATTCTCTCATCAAAGAGCTTGCAACGTTCCCACCTCCCTGGGTAAGAATTCAGCAGATCTCGGCAGCTTTAAGCAAGGCCCTTTTAAAGTAAATGCAACAGAAATAAGTTAATTTCTTCCATCTGGGCAGGTCTCTGAGTCCCTCCTACTCTGAGGACTTCTTAGTTGGATTGACAAAAGGAACACCCCAAACATGAAACTGGTTGTTTAGTCCCAAACCAGCTCCGTTTTCCTGCTCTCTGATGAGCCCCTGGCAAATTGACTAGCTGTCGGCTGCTTCCCTAGCCACGTCCTTGTTCACCAAATCACACATATTGGGTGTTACTCTGAGTCAATCCCTGGCTCCCCTCCTGCCACAAGGCTCATGAAGTTGACAGGGGCTTTGGCGTCGTGCAAAAAACTTCCATCTACAAGTCCCAGATGGGAGCCCTGGCGCCAGTTACCTGGCACGCCAAGACTTGGTCTCCTCATATTTAAAGGGCAATGATGAGGCTGGCTTCATGACTTTTTGCTTATCCGATGGGAGCATGAATGCCCAGCTTCTGACCCACTACAGCAGGTGCTCAGATCCGTGGCTCAGCACAGGGCAAGAGCCTTCTCCGTGGTCCAGAACAAAAGAGAAGGAATAGGGTCTGTGTTCTCCTGCCTCTCTGCAGGTGATGCTAAACCTGGGCTGCTAGGCTGTGTTATCTGACCCAGGGAGCTGGTTTTGACGGTAATGAAAAGGACAGGCGATTGGCCCTTTTCATGTCAGAGAACCCTGTGCTGGGTCTTAATCCTAATCAGTAAACTTGTGTCTGTTGTTTTGTTTCTTTGTTTTCATTTTATTAGCCAGGTGAAGAGAGAGATGTCTTATCCACTGGTATAATCCCCAAATGTCTTGGGTTGGGCCAAAGCCAAGAGCCTGGAACACAGTGTGGGTTTCTCAGGTGGGCAGCAGGGGCCCCGGCACCTGACCATCACCTGTTTCCTCCTGGGCATTCGCGGGGTGCTATATGAGAAACAAGGCAGCCAGGACTTGAACGTATGGATTCAGACATGGCACGCATGAACTGCAAACACCTGCTCTCCCGTCCGTAAGCACATGCGGATTGCGGCCTCCATGTCCAGCCTGGGCTAGATGCTCAGCATGACGACGAGCGAGATGTGGCCTCCACGCAGAGATGCGCAATCACTGAAGAAAGGAGAAGGCCTTTCATTACATCTGTTTCTCAAAGAAACCGTAGTATTCCGAAACTTATTACAATATTGTGGCTTATTTTTATTTTAACAAAAGGATTTATGTGCTAAAGAAAAACATATTTTTCTCCTCTCTTAATCTATAAACTGTATTGTCATGTAAGATCAAATTAACTTGTAACAATGTAAGAAATAAAGTGACTTTTTCAAAAATAAAGCTACTAAATAAAATTAACCATATTTTCGTTAAAATAATTTGGCAAAGTGGTTTTTTTTTTTTTTTTAATCCTGAAAAAGGACTCATTTTGGTACGGACTGAGGTTCACTTTTTCTGAACACAGTAGATCCTGTGCAGGCTCCTGTGGCAGAGGAAACTGTTAGTCTGAACTGAGCTCCCCTATGAAGTTGTAGGCAGGGAACTGCGTTATGGGGCAAGACGATCAACCATGCTGTAAGACAAACACTTGGTTACTCACACCAGCTACCCAGGAGACTGCAGGACCCGTATGTCCCCAGCCTTGGACCTGTGGGAGTTTTCTCCAGTCGGGAACCACCAAGCCAGATTTTCTGTCTAGGTAGTGAGGGATTCCTCTGGGCAGACAGCACTTGCTTTCGTCCTTGAGGTCAAGGTCGGGCTGATCTTGTTGTGATGCACTTCTCTGGTCCACCAGCGTCCCACTGAAAAGTGAGAGCATTATGGCCGTTAACTTGTCCCAGGCCTGCAAAGGAAGCCCCTGAGAGAACGTGGCACAACATTGTCTGAGCATCCTTCCCAGCACAAAACTCTGCTTGCATTTGTGGAGTGAGCCATGAAATAGATCTTTCTGTGTTTATTTGTGTGTGTGTGTTTCAAAGAAAATAAAGAAAAAATTGAGAAGAACAAAAAGAAGTGAGAGAGACCTACATGTGCACCAATTTCTGGCTGAAGAAGGCTTGATAAGGTACCAAGTTTTCTGAAACTTAAGTTTACTTAGCTCATAGAGTAAGTACCCTCACCTCAGCAGGTGTTAAAGGGCATAAAGAAGCCAGTGCATATGCAGTGCTTATTAAAGTGACAAGAGACATCTTCTAAGCAGGAGTGACCACTAATAAAGGGAAGACTGATTCGGGGTGTCTCGGTGAGCTAAGAACTTCAGAACAGGAAGGAGCCAGGCTGGGTTAATGGGAAGTCAGTGGATGTCCTCTACAACAATGCTTGGCTTAAATGGGCTCAGCCACCTGGCAGTCAGATGTTCCCAAGTCACCCAGGGTAAGAGCTGTGGAGCTTAGGATGCCTGCCTGACTTCCTGGTTCAGAAACACACCTGTGAAACCTTATCCAGGTGGGAAATTCTTCTGGTCTCCTCTTCTGGAGCCAGCTTCATGATCAGGTTATTCCTCTGGGTCACTTTTAGGGCATCCCTTCAATTCCTGCAGCAGACTGGGGGAGGCCCAGGCGGGGAGCCCCAAGGCCTTTGCAGAGAAGTCCTCCACACCCCTCCTCCGCTGAGACAGTACAACGTGCCAGGCACCCCTGCAAACAGCCTTATGTGCATCCGTTTGTTTAATCCTCTAACCGCCCTCTGGGGAGCTGCTACAATAATCCCCATTTAAAGTTGAAGAATCTCGGACTTGGCAAGGCTCCGTCCTTCATCGGAGATCACCGCTAGTGAGCAGCGGGGCCAGCGTTCCAGGTCTTTCTCGCTGGCCGCCAGAGCTGTTACCACCAGGCCATACTTGGCAGCAAACCTTTAATCCCACAGTTCTCGCCCTGTCACTTGTGTTTACCTTGTATCAGAGAACAAAGAGGGGTTTAAAACTCTCATTTTTCTTACCTGCTAAAGAGCAGCATAGTTTGTGGTCACTGAGCAGGGCCCCACTTACCTTGCTCCAAGCGTTCCAGAATAATCTTCCATTCTTCTTCACATCACATTGTTTACCCTCAGTTGCTGATCAGGATTCTTTCTAGGCTTTCAAAAAAAAAAAAAAAAATCACAGCAGTTTAGTGACTTTTCAACCACCTCTCTGGTTCAACCCCAAGGAGCTGCTTTTCAGGGACAGCTGATTGGAGCAAGAGTGCCACCTGGTGGAATACCTGGGTCAATGCCAATCCATATTCCTAGCTAGGGTCAAAGTGGGCAAGGGGATGAATGAGCAGGACACTGCTGCAAGAACCCAGCAACCCCAGGCACTGACTACACTGAAATTCACAGACCAGCTGCTCCAGTGACAGCTTGGCGTTTTGAAAGCTGGTGTTTTTTGAGGACAAAGGTAGGGGTTGGGATTGGGATGAGGGCAGTCTCAAAATGCAGATTTATAGCCTGTCTTCACTTAGAATTTTGTATTTTATTCATTTTGAATCTTTTGCATTAACTTTTTTAAATTACGAGAATGGGCAGTCATTTGACCTGGTGGATAATATGCTGGTTGGGTTGGCCACAGCCCATATGGGAGTGCCCAGGGTGCAAATCTTGGCTTCCTGCCAGTGTGCATCCCGGGAGGCAGATAATGGCTGGGGAGTGGAGGACCTGCAGCCGACTTTTGTCTTCTGGCCTCAGCTGGGCCAGCCCTCATTCTTGCCGGCATCTGGGGAGAGCTTGCCACTTGTCTGTTATCTATCTCTCAAGAAAATAGCTAACTGATTTTTTTACTTTAACTACAATAGAATCCATCTTGGTTCTTGAGATTTGGGGCACCCTGATAGCTTTGGTGACCAGCGCAAGCACTTGCCCCTCATCTGTAGGCTTCTCACAAGGCATCCTGCTTCCACGCAGAGCTCTGGCTAGACACAAGCAACGCACAGCTCCTGCTGCCGTGTGCACACCTGGCTCTGCTCTTCCCCATCTTGGGAGACTCTTGGTAGACCTCCTGCTCTCCCCGATGTACCCACTCTCCCATACATTGGGGTGTCACCAGAGAAACATCTGGCACAGACCACATGCCAATCATTGATGTCATCACAGATGGTGGCTGTCCTGGCCAGCAATGAACTTGTCAGCCACAAAGCAGGTGCTGCTTTGGCCAGCTGCAGAAGCCACAGCAAGTCAGAACAAAGGCTTTTGTGAACTCGGTGCACGCCCCACCCTGAGTCACGGCTGATGGAAGGTCTGTCCATCACATTTCTTCCTCAAGGGTCTCCAGGCTGACAGCCCACATCAGTTCAGCTCACCATAGAGCCTTGCACCGGAATGGGAAAATTCCAGATGCCTGACTATAGCCTAGGTCAGCAGGGCTGGTGGGGAGGGGGGGTGTATTCATTTACAGAAAAACACAGAGACAGAAAGATCTCCCCTCGGCTGCTTCACACAATGACCACAGCAGCTAGGGCTGGGCCAGGAGGAAGGCAGAAGCCCAAGAACCCAACCTAGGTGCCCCTTTGGATAGCAGGGACACAGATATCTGAGTCATCATCCACTGCCTCCCAGGTGCACACTGCAGGAAGCTGGAATTGGAAGCCGAGCCAGCACTCACAACCAAACCCTCCAGCAATAGGATCCTGGAGTCCCAAGTGGAATCTTTCTTTTTTAAAAAGATGTATTTATTTTTACTGGAAAGTTAGATTCACAGAGAGAAGGAGAGACAGAGAGAAAGATCTTTCATCTGTTAGTTCATTCCGCAAGTGGCCGCAAAGGCTGGAGCTGAGCTGATCTGAAGCCAGGAGCCCAGATCCTCTTCCGAGTCTCCCACACAGGTGCAGGGTCTCAAGGCTTTGGGCCATCCTCGACTGCTTTCCCAGGCCACAGCAGGGAGCTGAGTAGGAAACAGAGCAGCTGGGACATGAACAGGCACCCATATGGGATCCTGATGCATGTACGGCGAGGACTTTAGCCACCAGGCTACTGTGCCGGGGCCCCTAGCGAAATCTAAGCCACTGCACTAAATGTTTGCCCCACATGGGGAGTCCTTTATCTGGAATGTATAAATAAATTTGGAAGAGCTGGTTTCAGAAGCTGCTGGAATTTTACATTTAAAAGTATGTGCATTTCCAAGGGAGACAATTGATCAGTTTTTCCCCATGCTGGGAGGAGGATTGAAAGAGTCAGAGAGCCATGGTTCTTACCCTTGGTTTTCTCAGGAGTCTCTGCAAGAGGAAGCGACCAGAAAGTCAGTCCCCTGCTTGGCCTGAGCAAAACCACACCCAGAGACCTGCCCGGGGGTGCATCTCAGGATGCACAGGATGGAAATCTCATCCCCGGAACTGGAGGCCCAGCAGGAAGTGGCACCATCCACTCTTCTCTCTGCTTAGTCTTGCTCCGCCCACCCACAGTCTGGGTAGATGCTCGTTGGCCAACTCCAGCCTTTCCCTCCAGATCTCCTGTCCACCCCTTGGACCTCATGCACCCAGCCAGCCGGGCTCCCGGGTCAGCCTTCTCGGCACTCCAGGCAGGGCGGAGCACAGCGCACATGCTCTTGTCATCAAGAAAATGAATTCTTTTTCTGCTACAATTATCTATAGATTTCTTTCTCTTCCCCACATGATGGTGTACCCAGGAAACCAGGAAACCCAATCCTAGGCATTTCGGTATCCTCAGAACCCGGCACTAAATGTACAAGTTTCAGTTCATAAATAAACAAAGCCATGAGTGAAGGAATAAATAGCTACACATATTTGTTTTTCTAGAATGTTCCCTGGCTCTTCCAACCACATCTGAACCTCAGCAGTGACAGGAGGGCAGTACTGAATCAGCACACACATCCAAGGCCTCCAGCTCACTAGGCAAACACTGCATCAGGCAGAACACCCTGCCTGGCTCATCCTTCCTTATCCATCTCCCCTCACCAGGCTCTGAGTGCACAGTAGGGCAATAACTAACCAGGGACACTCAGAGGCAAAGAGAGTGGCTGTGCAGAGACCCTGCAGCAGCCCTGGCTGACTCTGGCAAGCCTGGGCCTTCACCATGACTCAATGTCATCAGCCACAGCAAGGATCCAAATGGGAGGGCACCTGCCTGCTCCCACTCCCACACCAGAACACAAAGAGCTAGTTTGCAGGTCAAGACTGATTCTCTCCACGCCCACAGCCACTCAGCACCAAGGCCCACAAGCCCCTCTCCCAACTCCACAAGGTTCTCTTTCATTCTAGCCCCTCTGTATCCAGAATTTGCAGTCATTCAGCTGAGGACAACAACACGGTCAGGCCCAAGATGGTTGTGTTTTCTCTCCTATTCATCACCTCCTAAACTGCACAGCATAACAACTACTCATGTGACATCTACACGTGTGAGACAAGATGGTATATTTCACTTTAATAAAATGTACTAAGATTTAGGGATGGTAAGACACTGTGAAGAACTGTGTAGGTTTACATGCAAATGTTGCATAGTTTTATAACATTGGGAACCACGTTTAAAATGCTCCTACCAGTCATGACATGTATTTGAAGCTCAGTTGGGTAAAACAGGCAGGATGCTCCTGCCAGCAGGACAGAAGACATGGCCTCACTCTAACATGCCACTTCTATATCCTCCCTGCCTTGGGTAGGCATCCAGCTCAACTTCTGGTTGCCTCCTATAGCTAACCAGCCTGGTGTTCCTGAGAATATGTGTGGCTGCTGTGATACGCACCATAATCACACCCACAGCTGAATCCCTCATGGAATCCACTCGTGGCTCTAGAATCCAACCCCATCAGCACAGAACTCCAGGCAGCCACTGTCATTCAACATTGTCTGGGGGTGAAGCCTAATCATCCCCTTGGCGTAACTAGACATTAGCAAGATGTGACTTCTGTTGCCTTCTGTCCTTCCTGCCTGACTTCCCTGGTGTTTCTTGGATGAACAGATGGATGGATGGATGGACTGATGATGGGTAGAATGGGTGGATGGCCCGTGAATGGATGAATGGATGGATGGGTAGATGATGGATGATGGATGGGAGCAATGGATGAACTGCTAAGTAGGTGGATGGGTGGAGGGTGGGTGGATAGATGGGTGAGTGGGTAGATGGATGAATGGATGGATGAATGCATGGGTGGGTGGTGCATCGATGGATGGATGGATGATGGATGGATCACTGAGTGGGTAGATGGGTGGATGGGTTAATGGATGGGTTGATGGATGGATAAATGAGTGGATGGATGGATGAGTGGACAAAGGAATGGAGTCCTTCTTCTTATGGCAATTCCCTAGTGAGGACCACGTCTGATTTCGCTGACTTCACTCAATGCCAATGCCTCCTTACAAAACTTGCTGTTCACATGAAGCATGCTTTGTGATGTTTGTTCCGGGAATGGGTGAGGCTCCTGGGTCATCCTGAGGCCGTCTGGACGATATTCGGTGTCAGCACTTTACTTCTCACTCAGTCTCATTTCCTCCCCCTTTGCCATGTGCTCGAGCTTAAAAACATCCATTCCCCCATACTTCCCTCTTTCCGTTTAAAGCTCCAGCTGACCAGAGAAGTTTCTGCTCTGACTTTTTTTCCTAACAAGAGAGAAGTGCAGCCCCACCGTGGAGCATGTAAGAATGACTGATGGTCAAAAACTCTTTGGTGTCTCAGGAACCCTGAGCCCCCCAGAGTTTCCGAGTCATCGAATGGTGTAGCTGAGGGGTAGAAAGTGTGTGTTCTCAAGGCCCCTGCTAAAGCCCACCCTTTTTGGTTTTAAACCAATGCGGCTAAGCGATATCTGCATATTCTTTCCTTAGCAAAACATTACTCAATGTTCAAGAGGAAGGGAATGTCAGAAAATTCTGAGCAAGAAAGCCTGAAGAGGAATCAAATAGCTCCTATAAAGCAATGTTTGGATGATCTGAGTATGAGCAAATCAAAAACAGATGGCTTGTTTGCTGTTAAAACAAGCATTTGTTTGCCCAGAAAGGAAAAGAAAAAAATTACAAAGGAAAAGCATTTTGTATAAAATGGCTTATGTTGGCAAATTGCAGGAGATTTTTTAAGAAACCCAAAGTATGATATGGATAACTGAATCCCATTTGCTAATCTCTTGGAACTGGTGGGGGGGAAAGGGAGGAAAGAAA